ACATATGTGTGTGTACACACACACACATATATATATATATATTTATCTTATATATATTTAAAGAATTATTTTATTGAACTTTATTTGTTTAGTTAGTTATAATTTGACCAGAGAGGGACAGAGAGAGAGAGGGAGAGGGAAAGTGAGTAAAGTGTAATTTATGAGCTAGTAGACACAGTAAGGGATTAATAACTAATAATAAAATTGAGCAATTTGGGGCTAGCAGGTGGATTGTTTGAGTCCCAGACCTGGCAGCTTGCTTTTTCCCTTTTTCCCTTTTTGTCTCTCTCTCTCTGATGAGAGCATTTAAAATAAATTAAAAAATTATTTTAAATTTTTAAAAATAATAATAAGTAAAATTAAATAAATACTTCTTTAAAAATAGAGCAGTTAAAATAAAAATTATGATGAAAGTTATGCGAATGCAGTGTCTCTTCTCTCAGAATATCAGATTACATTTGACCACAAGTTACTGAAATTGGAAAGTTAAACTGTGGGTAAGAGGGGAATACTACGGGAAGGCAAGCAGTCACTTTAGTTCCTTCCTGTAGATACTGACCTCTTCCATTTTCTACTGTATTTTGATCAATTTCAGGGGCCTTCAGAGAGCTGATGATATTTTTAAGTGAACTTTATAGTTATTATCTGATTATGGGTATCAGGTAGCTATTAGCTTATACAGTTCACATATCCTTAATAAATCTTTATTTTTTAATGTTATTTATTATTCTTCCATTTGCTATAGGGTGTACGTGTGCGAGAGAGAGAGAGAGAAACCGAGAAAGCAAGCCATCAGGTCCAGGACTGGAACCATGGTTGACTGTGTGGGAGTCCAGTATCCCCAGCCACCACACCACCTGCCAGCCCCTAAATATTTATTTTTAAATAATGATGTTAAGATTAGACTCACATGAATGCTATGTGTCAGTATCGTTCTCTTGATTTAAAAAAGAATTACTTATTTAATTAATTCCATTTGTTATTATTTATTTATTTATTTTTAAAAATTATTATTTATTTTTAAGTGACCAGAAAGAGAGAGATAGAGAGAAGGGGAAAGTGAGAAGGCAAACCACCAGGTCTAGGACTCGAACCGCAGTTGGCCATGTGTGAATCCAGCACCTTTAAGCACCGTTTCACCTGCTGGCCCAGTCTTGATTTTTATGATATTTTCTTTATCTTTGCATTTTTTCCCAACAGATTGCCACAATCTCTCCAGGGATGGCATCCTGTGAAAATACTCTCAATACATTAAGATATGCAAACAGGTATGAGAGGTGGTTTTCCATTTTGGAATTTGAGGGGAGTGGGGCAGCATACAGTATGATTTAATGTCTGATAGGGCAAATCTTACATCATTCTTTCAGTTTTTAAAAAATATTGATTTGCGTATTATTCTTTAAGATATTTAGAATCGTTTGTCAAAATATAAAAATAAGTACAAATAATGTCATTTGCAAAGTGATATCTTTAGTAAAATTGTTTTCTATTAAAATTTTCCATTTACCTAGTTATATTTCATAATACTATACTGCATTTAAATTAAGTTATGCAAATTCTTAATAGTAGATCTCTAAAATGAAATTCAGGGGGGATTAGAGCTCTAAAATGAAATTCAGGTGGGCAGACTATATTTCTTAAATTATTTTTTACATACTGAAAAATTATCCATGATCATAGTACATGTTATATATGGAAAATAAAGGGTTTGAGTAATTAGTGCTAGCACAGTTCTTTCTGATTTTCTGTATGGTTTGTGTTTTGTTATTCATGCCAACAGTGTTATAAACTTTCATAGAGAACTGGGTCATTATAGATAGTAGAGTAAGAACATAAGGCATTATAGACCATTAAAGCAATTTATTCCTTATAGTCATGAAATGACTTTGGGTTGTGATGGGTTTACGTCTTCTATAGCTTTATTTTTTCCCACTGCTGCTGTTTTGAGTGGTTGCTTACTTAGTTTTAAATTTTTGTTGGGGCAGCCCTGCAGCCTACCAGTTCAAGCATTGTACATGGGGAGCTGGACCCCACAGGGCAATTAGACTTCATGTCCTGGCTATAGCAGCTTGAAAAACATACCAAGGAGAATTTATTCCTTTTTCATATTAAATCTGTCTCATGTTATTGAGGACAGTATTTTGAGGTGGTGGGAGAATATTAAAATTTTCATATTTTTAGGATATTATCTCTTAAGTGTTTATACTTCTTTGCTTTTAAGACTGAGCATAGTTAAAGAGTATTAGTTTTCAAAACATATGGATTTAATACCTGCTTTACCACTAAATGACAAGAAAGCCCCAGGAAAGGTAAACTCCTATGCCTGGTTTCATCGTCATCAGAATGGAGAGATTAACAATCAGGTTTATCTTAAAGGATTTTTTGTTAGTAGGACTAAAAGAGGTGATCTGTATAGAATGCTTATTTGCACAGTGCCTGGACTGTACTAAATATATTAATTATTATTCATGCTGTTATTTAATAAGCAGTTTTCTCTTAAAAATTCAGTTAGATATGGAAACTTATTTAAAAATTCTAGTTTTAGTCAGAATTGTATACTTTGAAAGTGTTTTGCAGTGTTGGGAGGTGGTTGGTAATGATATACATTGATGCTAAGTAATCAGGGTGACAAGTTAAATTCCAGTCAGATGACACATTTGAGAAATTTTAGAGGAGAGAGGAGAAAAGTTTGAGAGTGGAGGAAGTGGTTGTCCCAAGGTAAAAAGAAATGCAAAATATATGAGAAACATACATTAGTCTCTATCCTAAAGCAGAAGATATGGTTTGGATAATAAAGAGGTTAGAGTGGTTGGGTCTTGGATAGAAGAGTGATTAAGAGTTTTTAATAACTTATTTGAGGACTAGGACTCTGATATGAGTGACTTCAAAAAGTTCATGGAGGGACCAGCAGATGGCATAATGGTTATGTTGTTGAACTCAACGTGTAGTCGACTGTGTTTATACTTCTTTGCTTTTAAGACTGAGCATAGTTAAAGAGTATTAGTTTTCAAAACATATGGATTTAATACCTGCTTTACCACTAAATGACAAGAAAGCCCCAGGAAAGGTAAACTCCTATGCCTGGTTTCATCGTCATCAGAATGGAGAGATTAACAATCAGGTTTATCTTAAAGGATTTTTTGTTAGTAGGACTAAAAGAGGTGATCTGTATAGAATGCTTATTTGCACAGTGCCTGGACTGTACTAAATATATTAATTATTATTCATGCTGTTATTTAATAAGCAGTTTTCTCTTAAAAATTCAGTTAGATATGGAAACTTATTTAAAAATTCTAGTTTTAGTCAGAATTGTATACTTTGAAAGTGTTTTGCAGTGTTGGGAGGTGGTTGGTAATGATATACATTGATGCTAAGTAATCAGGGTGACAAGTTAAATTCCAGTCAGATGACACATTTGAGAAATTTTAGAGGAGAGAGGAGAAAAGTTTGAGAGTGGAGGAAGTGGTTGTCCCAAGGTAAAAAGAAATGCAAAATATATGAGAAACATACATTAGTCTCTATCCTAAAGCAGAAGATATGGTTTGGATAATAAAGAGGTTAGAGTGGTTGGGTCTTGGATAGAAGAGTGATTAAGAGTTTTTAATAACTTATTTGAGGACTAGGACTCTGATATGAGTGACTTCAAAAAGTTCATGGAGGGACCAGCAGATGGCATAATGGTTATGTTGTTGAACTCAACGTGTAGTCGACTGTGGTTGGAGTCCCAGACCAGGTGGCTTAAAACTTAAGACTGACTGTGTGCATATGTGCCAAAAATACCAAGAGGAGAAAGGAGGAGAAGGGATTGCAACGTGGCCATTCCCCCAGGGGGTGATTTCTCTCTCTCTCTCTATCTGGCGCCCACATGCACCCTATAGCAAAAATCTCTCTTAAAAAAAAAAAAGGTTCATGCATGGCCAACCAGGTGGCATGGTTAAGGCTGCTGAATCTCATTTGGCTAACTGCATGGTTTGAGTCCTATATCTTGAGGCTCAAAAGTCACGCTGGGTACGTGTGCATGCATGCCCAAAATCTTGAGGAAATGGGATTGCGGTATGACCATCACCCCAGGATGCAATTTCTGACTCTGTTTCTCTCTGATGAATAGACATGCCCTATGGCAAATACCTTTTTTAAAAAAAAGTTAATTTATTATAAACAATGGATGTTGTAAGGCATTAGGACCCTCCCTAGATGGTGCTTTCTCTCTCTCTTTCTCACTCTTGCACACATGTCCTATAGCAAATTTAAAATTAAAAGAAAAAAAGAGGCATTTCAGATTTAGGTGATAAAAGCTAACGAGGTAGTACTACTTTGTAATCCCAGCTTCTTGTGAGCTGAGGCAAGAAGGTCAATAGTTTGAGGCTAGCCTGGGCAGCATAGTGAGAACTTGTTTTTTTCTTTTCTTT